TTAGAGGTCCTACATAACTCAAAAGAGTGAAATACATAACTCTAAAATGCATGAAATTCGTCCTGTGGTTTAGATAAATATTAATGTTATAACATAACGTTTCCGGTTAATATATTATAATTAATATTCCTCAATGATAACGGCTTTCAAATTAATATAAATAATCCAGTAAACCATTACTTGTTATGTAATAATGTTCACCGCAGTTTCAAGTGAAAATATGAAAAATTAAGTGAAATATGAAAAACTAAGTGAAAAATGGATGACATTGAGTTGGATACAACATTTTCCATATCAGGGTATGTATCTTGCATCTGTTATGTATTTGATTATTGTATTTATTAAAAATTTTATTGCGTGCAGTATAGTTAAACCTACGTGTTTTAACTAGCTTTTAAATTAATTTAAATAAACAACTTGAAAAAATCGAACTGCCTAAGGCGGGAATCGAACCCACGACCTTTCGCTTGCAATCTGGCTTTAGGGGGCGTCCATAAATTACGTGAGACAATTTTGGCTATTTTTCAACCCCCCGCCCCCCTTGGTGAGATTTGGTGAGATTTTGCCTGACCCCCTCCCCCACCCCCAAATCTCACGTGATATTAAAAAAAATCCGAAATTTAATAGTTTTGGAGTAATATAACTGAGAAACATTTTTTTTGTGTGCTTTAACGTTGTCGCTAACGAGTGCATCAAAAAGATCTATAAAGTTAAAGATTTAAGTTCTTGAAAGTATCTGCTAGGGACGCTGTACAATCATCATACATTTAATGTATGTCATTTTTTACGCAGTCGCTAGCGGATGACGATTGTGTAAAGTCGCACTAAGCCCACTGATTACGAATAGATCCAGAAAAACACGTGTAGTGACAGCGGTTAGTACTAGTCTAATTGTTCCTTTCTACAAAATTACTAATCTAGCAAAATCGATTTTGATAAAAAAAGAACTTGTTTTATAATTTTCTTAATTTCGTCATTTATTCTGCATTTTAGTATTCACACATGCAGACGGAAGCATTTTTAGTTTTATTTGTTTAGACTGTATAGAATTAAATGACATTATCATCATACAAATATCATTTTTTAGTCCTGCTGACAAGGAACCCTTAATATAGTTTCGATATGTCTGGCTGTCTGTCTGTCCGAGGTTTTGCTTGGAAACTATTGGCACTAGGGAGCTGTAATTTTGTAGAGGTATGTATATTAATCACGCCGACAAAACGGTAGAATAAAATTAAAAAAAAAAAATTTTTAGGGTAGCTCCCCTACATGTAAAGTGGGGATGATTTTTTTTTTCGTCTTCTACCCCATCGTGTGGGATATCGTTGGATAGGTCTTTTAAAATGGCTTAGGGGTTTCTAAGACCATTTTTCGATTTAGGGATCCGTTTGCAAAATGTTAAAGTTTAAAGTGCCAATTTTTGTCCGAGTAGGGCATCCCCCCCGCTAAAAACTAAACTGTTGGCTTGATAAATCAGGAAAAATTCAAGATTATAGTGCCTTTTATGAACTTTTAAGGAAAACTATAGTGGTTAAAATAGACCAGTTAGTTCAAGAGTAATAGTCGTTTTACTCATGTATTATAAAATTTCATACCTAATAAAAATTCCTTAGAAGAAAATATTAAAAGTGACTTTAGATGAAGTAATTGCTTACTTCTGAAATATATTGTGATAACGACGGACAACTACGGAACCCTACACTGCGCGTGGCACGACACGCACTTGGCCAATTTTTTTACTTAAGATTTAACCCAGTTTTCTGGCAAACTCTATTTCTCTATTTCTTGTGGAAAAAAATACGTGATATTTCCCGAAACCCCCCCTCTCCCCCACGTGAGATTTGGTGAGGTTTTTGTTGACCCCCTCCCCCCCCTAAAAGCCTCACGTAATTTATGGACGCCCCCTTATTAATTTTGGCCTAGGTATTACACAAAGAGTTTACCTGGAGTCTTGCAGTGACTTGGCCCACTTTTAGTTTGGTCCACGGGCCAAGTCGCCGGATTGATTTTTAAATGTTTTTCTTCCGGTAACTGGGCCCACTCCAAGATTTTAGAGTAGATTTTTGTTGATTTGGTGTTTAATTTAATAAAACATTGAAGGTGGACCATTAAAAGGTGACAGATAGAGTGATTTTCACATTTTACCCGACTGCACCAAAAGGAGGGTTATGTTTTTACTTATAGTTTCCTCATAAATAAAGTTAAACCAATTAGTAAGAAAAAAATAGTTGCTATCCATTTTCTTCAGTAACAGCTTCACTTAAATAAACTAAATTATAGGCAATTTCTGTTGACTCAATAGTTGCGTACAATTACTCATAATAAGTAAATAAATAATCACCCATGTTACTCACTAGACATTACGTATGACCTATTATTTACACAACAAAAATAGAGAGAGAAGTCCGAATCCACACAAATAGGAAAAAATAAAAAGCCATTTTTAGTACATTTTCATTTTCGTCTCATTTTTCAGTAGGTAAAACATTTTCGCGACAAATATAAAGTCACAAGGTGGACAGACAACCTTATAAAGGTAGCAGGAAGGCGCTGGATGCAGGCCGCTACCAACCAGGCGATGTGGAAATCATTGGGGGAGGCCTATGTTCAGCAGTGGACGTCCTGTGGCAGAAATGGTGATGATAGGAATATCGGTCTGTGTATCCCTCTTTTACAAGAATATTATCCCCTATCCTTATTAACCTTCCCAGACGGCATACATTAATGCCATAACAATTGATTATCTATTGTGTCTAGATTCGCGGGCCTTGAAGGATTAATATACTAGCAGCCGCCTGCGACTTCGTACGCATGGACCGCGTTTAACTCCCTTTGGGGTGGAGTTTCGTAAAATCCGTTCTTAGCAGATGTCTACACCCTATAAGGGTACCTACCTACTACCTGCCAAATTTCGCAGGTGTTATAGTTTCTGAGATTTCATGATTACTCAGTGAGTGGTATTTCGCTTTTCTCCTATAGGTACTAGCGGCCGCCCGCGACTTCGTACGCGTGGATCCCGTTTTACCCCCTTAGGGGCGGAATTTTGCAAAATCCTGTCTTAGTGAGCACCTACGTTCTAAAAGAAACTCCCATGCAAAATTTGAGACTCCTAGCACTTGTAGTTTCGGAGATTTCGTGATGAGTGAGTCAGTCAGTCAGTGACCCCGCTTTTATAGATATAGATAGATTAGTGTAAAAATTTAGATTATTGGATACTTTATAGGTCTCTCTGTCTGCCATTTTCTGCTTTATGCAAATATCCATCGCAAAACCTGCTTTTGACTCGTCGCAAAACCGGTCCGATCTGGTTCAGACTGGTTATAACGAGTTCAGTGCACCTAAAAGCCACTTTTCAAATGTTTACTAGTTTCTTATCTCGGAGGTTTTTAGTGTATTTTTCAATGATAGTCTTGAATGGGTTGTTTTTGTTATTGTTATTTTTTTCTGATGACTGTAAAATATATGATGATTAATGTGAAAGTTTATCGTTTATTTGTTTGTAATTTTATTCATAAAGCTACGATGTGTTACCATTTTTTTAAACACGAGGGGTTTACTCGACTAATTAGTAATTTGTCCAATACAAATCTATGTAGGTATACTTATTTTATAAGCGATATACCATTCACTGATTAATCACGAAATCTTCGAAACTATATGACACCTACAAACTTGGCAGGTAGGTTCCTTAAAGAGAGTGTGAACATCCGCTAAGAATGGATTTTACGAAACTGCATCCCTAGGGGCTAAAACGGGGTCTACGCGTAGGAAGGTCGCGGGCGGCCGCTAGTATTCTTTATAAATCAAGAAAGAAGAAAGGTTATTTAAAAAGAGACTTTATCGGTCAAAATATCGTAATTCCGCTAACCACTAAATAAGTAATGTAAAGTTATTCGTAACTTGTGTCAATGAAACATACTAATTATGTGCATAGTACTCAATATCAAATGCAGTAAATAGCATTTTATATGAAAACTAATAAATACATTAGGTATTTATTTATAATCTAGAAGTAAGTAAGTACTTAGTAATATTATAATGCGAAAGTACTAAACATGTATTTAGCAAGCGACAGATTAGTAGACTGAAGTTTCATATTCAATAATAAATTCAATAATTTGAATTTGAAACTTCAGTCTACTAATATTCTGTCGCTTGCTAACAACAATGTGTAGTGCTTTCGCATTATAATATTAGTAAGATAGGATAGGAACGATCTTAAAATTGTAACGTCTTCTTTATAACACCATTTTGATTATTAATGCATTGCACAAAATTACATTAATTAAACATTTATAATGGTCCTTAACTAAAGAGCCATATGAGTAAGAGTATTAGCAGGCCTGTTCATCTATACCCGTAGTACTTATTATTATTCTGTGGTATTAGTCCAATATCTTTAAATTTAATTAACTATTTAGGTTTTAATGAGAGCGACTCATTAATTATTACCCTTTATAGAGCCCTTTCTAGAGCATCAGTCATTCAAAAGTAGTTGAAGAAATCAGTGGATTTTGAATAGAATATTATTTGTGATTTTTAAAGTGTTTAAGTGCGAATATTTTACGTTGTTTTGTGGACTCTTATAGGCACGTTTAAAGACTTTAGCACGTTTGATTGAATTTTTCTACCGCTTATACAAACTTAAGCTTTATTGCTTCTTTAAGCGTTGTAAGGGCGTTGTAGTACGAATATTTTACGTTGTTTTGTGGGCTATATATCAGAAGCTTAACTAACTCATAGAACCATATTGTGTCTCGATTTGGTGATATTTAAAAGACTAATCTACGCGTTATTATCATTTCTTTAGCGAATCGCCAACTACAAAACTCTCAAATTCTTCCTTGAAGACGATTGTATTATACGATTCGAGGTCGCATCGTTCAAAAATAAGGGTACCTTGCCAAAACTCAACCTCTTTGAAATCTAACCGCGAATTCCTAAACGGAACTTGTCACAAGCAATCACTGTCAAACTGTCAAATCAAACCTTTTGACCAGCTCCCACCAAAATCAAGTGTTTTAAATCTAAAAGACAGAATTATGGACAAAATTGAGACCGTGCCTCTTTAAACTCGACATTAGCGAAAACTGTGTGCTTCAAATAGGCACCAAATATTAATAATGGACAAAATTGTGAAGAGTGTGAAATCTTGGACTGATTCGAATAGGAAGGCCAGCCCTGACCTGACGAGGAGTCAGTACTCCTTGGTGTCGAATGGAGAACTGACGGCTGAGGCGGTGCAGCTGTGGATCGGTCTGCCTGCTGAAGTCAAGTATGACCCGTCCCTGGCGTCGCTAAGGCAGCTGTACGAGAAGGAACTTGGTGAGTCTTTTAGTATAGTCTTCTTGATGTTTATTGTCCTTGGTGCATGTCTTTTCATGTTACTAAACCGTTGTTTAGCCGTGTGGTGACGGCAGAGTAGAATACATTTGTCACCAACCCCTACTCTTCCGACGGGTGTCGTAAGAGGCGACTTAGGGAGTACACATCAAACAGAGAACGGGCAGCAGCGCTCTCTGAAAAACATCAATCTTTTAAACTGCGATCTCCAACCCGCCTGCCAAGCGTGGAGATTATGGCAAAACCCTCCACTATAGTGAAGGAGGCTCATAGTCCAGCAGTGGACTGTAAAGGGCTGTTGATGATGATGAAACCTTTGTTTGCAATGGTGGGAAGTCGAACCTTAACTTTGAACTCCTATGTTCTTCTGATAAATTTCGTTGCGGGTCCAATGACAGTTTAACTTTCCCCCGGGACCTTGACCTTCACTGGTTGGGTTATTGGCGGTCAAGCTGTAGATCCTGGCTACTCAGGAGTTGCAGCGGTGGGAACGAGAGGTGGGAATAGTCCCGTATATGGTCTCCTGCTCCCTGTTTCCTCGGGTTCGACTACCAGAAAGTCTATACAGTTCCTCATGGTCCTATTACCTATCACACTGAAAACCAGCGCCATGGCATTCGTCACCGTGGGCCACGGCATAAAATATGCTGAGTGGGGTCCCGTTGCAGTGGGCATCTTGTTGGTGAATGGGTGGGTGGCACTGCTCAGTTTACTCTTGTTTTTTTTTCTTCTTTCATTATTTGTGTTAATTGCCTGTATTTGTGTGATGTTCATTGTAATAAATGTATCTTTCTTTCTTTATTATTGTTCTTTTGCTTGCTATGCGATTGTCTTTTACCATTTGGATTGCAGTGAAGCTTTAGATTCGCCTTCAAGACGTAGCACACTTATCAACCCGGAAAGGGATCGTACCGTATCAACTCGAGGCGGTCAGTATTCTTTGTATGAAACTCCATACTGCAACGCACAGTTATCCGCACCGTAACGTAAACGCCTCGCCTCGCGGTTGACAGCGCGCGAAAGGCGATGACAGCTCGCGAAAGGCGATACGGTGTTGATTTATTTTCGAGTTGATAAGTCTGCTATGGCCTTTAGAGATAAAGGTGGTAAGAACACCGTTCAGATTCTCCGGGGTTCGATTTCCAGTGAGAGCAAATTTTCCTGCCTCCAACAGCCGAAATAAGTCAAATAACATTGCTATTAACATTGTTTTTTAGCAACTTACATAATATTAATATTATTATGACAGTGGTAGCTACTTTTGCTGCAAAATGTCTATGTGTACAGTCAGCGTCAAATAATTCGCGACACTCAAAGTAGCCAAAAAGTTCGCAACACGTCTTTGTTACAATTGGAATAAGGTTGTGTTGTCAACTTTTGGCCACTTTGGGTGTCACGAACTATTTGACGATGACTGTAAGGCCTGAATCGAATTTTCAGTGTCGTCTCGTATAACCAGTAGACCGCCAAAAACATAATGAACTAAAGATTAAAATTATCTAAATTTATAAAAGGAGAAACTGACTGACTTAGTGACAGATCAACGCACAGCTTAGGTACCGTAGAGGTGCACTAAGAAAGGAATTCCCGAAATTCCCACGGGAACGGGAATTAGCAGGAAAATCCTTTTGTATGAAAAATCTAAACTGCTTAAGTTAGACGCTTGAAATTTGGCAGGTACCTTAGTAAACTTAAAGCTTAGTTACAACAGGATATTGCAAAATTCCCACGGGAACGGGAGTTAGCGGGAAAAAACATTTGTTTGAAAAAATCTAAACCGCGTAAGATAGATGAAGGGGGTAAAACGGGATCCACGCGTACGAAGTCGCGGGCGGCCGCTAGTAAAAGATAATAAAGAATGCGTAGTTGAAATCGGTCCAATTCTGTGACTCTATATTCGTCCTCGGTTTTTAGCCAATATTTTTTGTCTTAAACATTTGTTTGGCACGTGAATAATTTAATGAGCCTAATCATAATATAGTTGCCAGAAGTTAAACTGCTAAAAAAAACCAATTGCTGCTTTATAATTTTAGAGTATGATTCAAAATCAATTGAGATACGAACAACAGGTAGAGTTCTTGAGATAGTATAGAAATAGAAAACTTTTTTACTATTTATGGCATCTCTATACTTAATATTATAAACGCGAAAGTAACTCTGTCTGTCTGTCTGTCTTGCTTTCACGCGTAAACCACTGAACTGATTTTGATGAAATTTGGTACAGAGATAGTTTGAGTCCCAGGAAAGGACATAGGATAGTTTTTATCCCGGTTTTTGAAACAGGGACGCGCGCGATAAAGTTTTTCTGTGACAGACAAAATTCCACGCGGGCGAAGCCGCGGGCGGAAAGCTAGTATATTATAATTATAATTCCGGCACAGAACATACTGTGTCACTGTTGACTCAATCTATCTATAGAGATAAGCCAACTTTAATCAAAATCGGTTCAGTAGTTTAGGCGTGAAAGCATAAGACAGACAGACAGAGAGTTACTTTCGCATTTATAATAAAAGTATAGATTACTCGACAATCGTGTTCCACAATCGCGAAATGACATTTTTGTAAGCAGATGTACTTTCAACAAAATATGAAAATCCATGCAATAAAGTTTTACTCTTTCTTCAAGTGCTGATGTTAAAACTGAGTTAACCCCCACAAACCTGTGGTGGAATTGTGTAAAGCAATCGTAATCATTTGACAGTTCATAACTTACGATTATTCTGTCAAACGCTTTGTTTATCTGACTTTATCGTACGTTATGAACTGTCAAATGATTACGATTGCTTTACACAATTCCACCTCTGTTTTTTGACGATAATATGTTTCAAAGTCACCTTTCCCTGTCTCTATCACCTTTAGAACTATGCAGGGAAGTCCCTAGGTAGAGGAAAAGTTACTTAAAAATTGTTTATTTAATTATTTTCCCTTCTGGCCAACGCAGGAACAGTTCTGACTACACAGTCAAAATGATTTATCTAAACTCACATGAGTTTTGACAGACCAAGTGATTTAACAAAATCTTTCTTCCTTTGTGAGGTCTAATATAATCATCAGGTCATTTAGTCTCCACTGCAGGAGCACGACCCTCTCTAATTTACCAGAGGCAAATGGAGGATTTGGCCTACACTCCCCACTGGCCAGACGTGAAAAAAATGGTCAACAAACAAAAATTTCGCCAAAGCGCATACCTTTAGTCTTATATGTGTTTCAAACCGGATTTAACCAGCTCAAAATAGATCTGTCTGGCTTGATCCAGTTCAGACTAAATAACAGCTAAGCTGAACTGTATCTTGTTCGTAAAGAAATAGATTTCAAAATGCCTGAAGACAAGACTAGAGTCAAAAATTTTATACGCAGCCGCCTGCGCCTGCTTTTGTTGTTCTAGTTCGTTAGATATACGGGCTATAATACTAAATATTGTCGGTTCGAATCCCAGTAGGGTCTTTGATGAAGCGAAATAAAAAATGATTGGACAATGACGTTGATTCTGTCATTTATTGTTCCCACGTAGACATCCATTTTTTTCCAGGAACTGCTTTTGCAGGATTCCGTTTTATCCCGTTTGCAGTTCCGCCAAAAAAGCAATGCATTTGAATTTCAATCACATTTTATTAAGTATACTAGCTTTCTGCCCGCGGCTTCGCCCGCGTGGAATTTTGTCTGTCCTGTCACAGAAAAACTTTATCGCGCGCGTCCTTGTTTCAAAAACCGGGATGAAAACTATCCTTTGTTCTTTCCCGGTTCCTCGGTTCAGTGGTTTAGGCGTGAAAGAGAGACAGACAGACAGACAGAGTTACTTTCGCATTTATAATATTAGTATAGATATAGAAGTAATAGATTCACACGATAGTCCAGTTCTGCGGGATCCAATAATTAGGAACTGGATCTGGGTTGCCGAGGGAACGAACTCTGACATAGTGATTTACTCAAAGTCAAAAATGATATTATTTTCTGCTAATAGACTTTTATACGTCCCAGTATTTATAACTGTACCACTGTTTTTAGTTTACTTGGGAATCGAACCCAGGACCTACGGAATAAAAGAAGCCTCCTCTCAAACGACTAGACCCTGGTGTTCCGATAGTAATTTTATAGCGCTTTTACACGTCCCAGTATAATTTTACCTTAAGTGGTAAGTTCGGATCTTTTAAGTTTATCCGGAAATCAAACCCAGGACCTAAGGAACACAAGAAGCCATCTCTCAAACCATTAGACCACAGTGGCGTTCCGAATTAGTTCATAAGTCAAGGTCAAAAATAATTTTCCTTTTATTATAAGAGGAAGTTACTATCATTATACAATAATGATACTATTGTCAATTTTCAATTTTAATAATGATACCAAATTACGAAATGATGCCAATTTGATATAATACTTACAGCTGTTCAAATGTTATTATGATTGCAAATAAATGTCATTTTAAGTAGGTGGTCAATGACAGTTCTAAAATATGTTGCTATTTATTTACTCAGCGGTCGAAAGGCTCTTTACTGCATTACTTACTGTATCCCGCAAAAACGACTTGTGCGTTCACAGTATAACACGATAAGTAGTAAGCCATTTTAACTCGATGTAGCACTGTTATTATTTAATTATGAAAGAAAATAAAAAATATGAGTCTAATATTTTCTGGCGGACAAATAATTGAAATTTTGTCATCTAGCCTATTATTGTCATATGGACCACAGATATTGTCGCAAATATCACCATGCATGATATGAACAAAATAAAAGTCAAATAACTTATACAGTCCATTATGTCTTTTAACAAATTACAACCTACTTTTATTTCACAGGCAAAGTGGAAAACATCAATTCTCGTCGCCAAAATGGCAGCTCGCGACCAAAACGTCTGCCTTTCGTGAGCTCCGCGCCGCATCTGAACAATAACGTCAATAACGCGCCGCACGTTGACGACGCCGGAGTGGGGATAGAGATCAATGACATTGGGAAGGAGAAGCAGATGTGAGTAAAGCCCAGTTTGTGAGCACGTAGAATTTTGTCCAATGACCCCAAGCTACCCATCCTTATCGCTCACGCGTAATTATTTTGCTATCGCAACTGTGCGACGTGCGCCCGCAGTGAGTGTGCGAGCGCGACAGCGACATAATTACGCGCGAGCGATAAGGATGGGTAGCTTGGGGTCATTGGACAAAATTCTACGTGCTCGCAGATCTGACTATAGTTTCTCTTTTGATCGTTCATTCACCAAGACGCGCCCCACCATTCTTCGGCTAATGTTTGAGTGCTATCGGTACACGCCAAATTATCAATGAGTGCACACGCACACTACAATAATGCCGCTTGGATTGCTTGGATCAAACTCCTCGCATTCCGCGCTTCCCTCGTAAAATTGGTGGGGCGCGTCTTCGTGGATGAAACGATCTAACAGTACATCAAGCACCAATAAATATCGTAATCGTAGAGCTGTAATTGTCATGACAACATAATATTAATGCCCTTCCGTGCTACCTCTCTTTCCCCTGTTACTTCCACGTACAGAACCCTTTGCATGCGTGCCCAACTCACACTTGACTGGCTAATTTTTTTTTCTTTGTTTCAGCCTCGAAAATGTATCCGGAGGAAAGCTTCTTTCAAAAGTAAGTTATCTAGGTAATACAATTTTTGGTACTAAATAGGTATAGGTCTGGCAATTAACTCAGTGCGTGAGATATGGGAGCGGCAAGTGACTTTGTGACGGTCAAACGTCAGCGAGACTCCCTCAGATTAGATTGGGTCCGTGGCCGAGTCCCCCTGTGTTCGACGCACCCGTGGTCGACGCCCCCGATCAGATAGAAGCAATTTTTAATCAAATGTACAGTCAGTCACAAAAATATTTATAAACGAATAAATATTTATACTGATCGTACAAATAAATGTTTAATATTATTTTACCATAGTGATACCTAAAAATATAATAGGTTTTATTTTAACCTATCATATTTTATCATAGGTTTCATTTACCTATAATAACATGTAAATCGTTTTACCTAATCAAAATAATTGTAACAATCAGTCTTTAAAATAACTCTACTCTCTCTACATTTAACTACAATTAATAAAAGTTTTAATTATAAAAGTTTTAAGTATTTTTAACAAAAAATTAAATACATCATTTTAAATAACGTCAAACATGCATGGTTTTCGTTGACTGTACTTAGTGCAAAAGCCGAAAAAAATATGATATTAAATTTATTTAAATCGGGGGTTTCAACCACGGGTGCGTCGAATACTGGGGGACTCGGCCACGGACCCTTCAGATTTGTTTGCCCTGTCATGTCAATGTCACCCCTCCCGTGCCGCTCCCATACCTCAGGCACCGACTGAGTTAAGCGCTAGATATACCTATAATACTAATTTAATTGTGTGCTTGAGATACACAAACTATCTAAATAAACAAAAAGGAGAAACTGACTGACTGACTGACAGATCAACGCACAGCCTAAACGGCTAAACGTAGGCACTTGAAATTTGGAACGGACGTAGCTTAGGTACCGTAGAGGTGCACTAAGAAAGGAATTTCCGAAATTCCCACGGGAGCGGGAATTAGCGGGAAAAACGGGATTCACGCGTACGAAGTCGCGGGCGGCCGCTAGTCTCACATATTCTTGAGTAATTTTTATTCAAAATCATGAAAATCGTTTGTTGTTCCAAAAAATGTTAATATTTTTCCTCAGCACTTAACTCATGGTCTTTATTGTTTCAATTCTAGATGGCAAAAGCAAGACATTACACCAAGATGACACTGCTCCTGGCTTGCTGGGTGTTCTTCACTGTGGTGTTCTTGATGTACAACGAGAAGGAAGAAATCGTCAGAAACACTTCTATAGCACCGGGAGAAGTTAAAAGTAAGTGTGATTTGAACGCCTATGTTCTTCTGGAAGCGTCGGACGTCTACCCACAAGGTGGACCAACGACCTCATAACAAACCTACAGGAAGGCGCTGCATGCAGGCCGCTAGTGCCGCTACTAACCAGTCATTATAAAAATCATTGGGATGACTTATGTTCAGCAGTGATAGTCTTATTATGGCTGAAATGATGATAATGTTCTTCTGATTAATTTCGTTGCGGGTACAATGACAGTTTAACGTTCCCCCAGGACAAATTTGACCTTCACTGGTTGAGTTTTTGTAGCTGTAGATCCTGGCTACACAGGAGTTGCAGCGGTGGGAATAGTCCTGAACTGTGATTTTTGAACGGTAGTTTAAATTTGACCGGTAACCCGCCAATCATCATCATCAGGTCATTTAGTCTCCACTGCAGGAGCACGACCCTCTAATTTACCAGAGGCAAATGGAGGATTTGGTCTACACTCCCCACGCTGGCCAGACGGGTCGGGGAGGCCTGATGTTCGCATATTTCTCTTTTATGGTAGATTCGACCAAACAAGAGTAAATATTAATCTCAGAATAAATCGTCAGTTCTGACGTTATTTCCCATACTGAAACTGTCAATGTGCCAGTTATAATACCAGGAGTTATTCTCGGATAAAAGTTTGGTCGAATCGGGCCTTAATCGCTTTTTACCACATCCACGGAAAGAGGGGGGTTGTTAGTCCTAGTATACTCTATCGGAACCATAAACAAGGGTATAGCCTGTGGGGTGCCGTCGCCATATTTAATATCTACTATGACGTCAATTTTCTTATACCTTATGACTTTCCACTGCTTGCAATTCCAGGCTACATCCTGAACAGGTCAGAACACGAGCTCTCCGTCCTGATAGAGTTGTCAGGCCCCTTCATCCCTGAGCAGAGTGAGAAGAAGCTGAACGCCAGCCAAGGTCATGGGAAGCTGGAGGTCTGGCTGGAACGGTGGACTCTTAAGCCTGGAGGAAAGGCGGTGGAGGCTGATACGACAGTTAGAGTGGTAAGTGATTTTTAATCTATTAAAAGCAAAAGGTCACTGACTGACTCACTCATCCTGAAATCTCAGAAACTACAAGTGCTAGAAGTCTCAAATTTTGTATGGGGATTACTTTTAGAACGTAGGTGCTCACTAAGACGGGATTTTACGAAACTCCATCCCTAAGGGGGTAAAAGGGATCCACGCGTATAAAGTCGCGGGCGGCCGCTAGTGTATGCTATTCCCAAAATATAGTATTCATTACTTTGTAGTAAAGCGCCTCAGTGGTCTAGTGGTAAGACCACCTGTTTCAAACCCAGAGGTCCCGGGTTCCCGAGGAAGATTTATCTGTAAGGTTTGGTTGGCGGTAGGACTTGTTCTAAATCCGCCTGGCTATCTATCACCATCTTACCTAAGTCTGTACCCATAACCAAAATTTTTTTAATTTTTGGCATACCAATCTGCTTATCGGAATATTTAAGTACCTACTCTAGCATCTTTTACGTACGAAAATTCCCTATATTGACAAGCATTTCTTTCTTTCCAGTCATCACCACACTGGTCTATAATCCTCCAGGACGAGGAAGAACTGGATTTCAACGAGGGAGAACCCAGATCCTCAACCCTCCATGTAACCCATGTGTTTGGTTCGGAATCAAACCAAACGACCGTATACGCCGTGCGCATGCGGTCTAATGCTTCACAAACCACGCCGTGTAGCATGAAGTACACGGTGAACCCGCTAGATGTCAGCACTGGCGTTATATACGCGTGTGTGCTGTTGTGCGGGCTGTATATCCTGATTATATTTGAGGTGAGTTTTGTTATAGATCGTTTCATCCACGAAGACGCGCCCCGCCAATTTTTGGTCGAGGGAAGCGTGGGGTGCGGGGAGTTTGATCCGAGCAATCCAAACGTCATTATTGTAGTGTGCGTGCGCACTCATGGATGATTTAGCGTGTACCTACCGATAGCACTCTAACATTAGCAGAAGAGTGGTGGGGCGCGTCTTCGTGGATGATCATGAAACGATAGAAACATAAACCAAGTACAGTGAACTCATAAAGGTAGCAGGAAGGCGCTAGATGCAGGCCGCTACCAACCGGACGATGTGGAAATCATTGGGCGAGGCCTATATTCCTGTGGCTAAAATGATGATGATGACAGTCGAGAGGGTATCGTATAACTTAACTCAGTCAATGCCTGAGGTAAGGGAGCGGCAAGGGAGGAGTGACTATGACATATTATGACGTGACAGCAGGGCATACAAATCTGAATTCCCGCTGACGATTGACCGTCACAAAATCACCCTAGCCGCTCCCATACCTCAGACACTCACGGAGTTAAGTACTAGTCCTATCGTTGCCCAGTGCCCAGTACGGCTAGCACGAAGAACTTTCGAGTTCAAATCGTTTGCGTACTCGAATCGCCATCAAAAGATTTAGTAAGAAAACTACAATAGCGCCCTTGTGAACGTGACGTAAAGTGAACTTAGTATGAGATGTGGTTGCACTAAACTTATTTTGAGAATCAAAAATTTTATAAAAAAAAATAAAACCGACTCCAAAAAACCTACACTAAAACGTAGAAAAATAATTACTAATTACCTACTTATTTATTAGGACGAATTATTAATATTTATGTAGGTATACCATGATTGATACTTTTGGAGTCGGTGCAGGCAAACTTTACATGTTTCATAATCTTGGCACCGACTCCAGAAGTATCAATCATGGTATACCTACATAAATATTAATAATTCGTCCTAATAAATAAGTAGGTAATTAGTAATTATTTTTCTACGTTTTAGTGTAGGTTTTTTGGAGTCGGTTTTATTTTTTTTTATAAAATTTTACTTATTTCTTGCTTTTTAGTTAACTAATTATTACCTTGATGTTACCACTGAAGGTAGGCAGTACACTGAGACCAAAAAAAATTGGTTCATAATCGGCGGAGATATTGCGTATAAAAAAGTTCATCCCCAATTTTCCACCCTTGGGGTTGAAATATTTTCTTCAAATTCGCATGAAACCACCCTTTTGATAATACCTATTCAACAAAAAAATAGTCGTTCAAATTGGTTTATAATCGGCGGAGATATTGCGTATAAAAAAGTTCATCCCCAATTTTCCACCTTTGGGGGTTGTTTTTTTTATTATTAAATTTAAATGGGACCACCCTTGAGGTATTACCTATACGCCGAAAAAAGATTTGTTCAAATCGGTTCATAATTGGCGGAGTTATCGCGTAACAAACATAGAAAAAAAAAAAAAAAAAACATACGGGTCGAATTGAGAACCTCCTCCTTTTTTGAAGTCGGTTGAAAATTGACACATTATCGTTTAATTCGAAGATTGAGTATCGAATTTTATCGAATACGCAAACGATTCGAAGACGAAAGTTGTTCATGCTAGAGGTACAGAACATGCTTGTTGAACCGACATGATATGAAAATCATATACATCTATTGCATGGCCAGTTTATCAGCAAGTGTCATCTCAAACGGAAGTGTAGCGTAGGTACATTCATAAAATCACTAACGATCATACATACGAGTAATAATATTTTATTTATGTTTACATGTATTCAACGATCATCTGATGAGTATGGTCTTTAGGTATATCAAAGTGATTAAAGATAATTTACTGTCATGTTTGGGGTTATGTGATAATTGTTAGGTATGTTTATTAATTACATTATGTCTATTGCAATAGTTGTCGAATAGAGACCTTTAGCACCTTAAGAGGTGTTAAAAATCTCAGGTTCAGTTACAAAAGGGCATAGATTTACTTTACTTATTTCAAGAATGTGGTTGGGTTCTGGTTATTGCAAGATTTTAAAATAGGCTGTTTGTCCGGAATAGATAGGCTAACTAAATTATAAAGTGATTTATTTTTCACTAGCTTTTGCCCGCGTGAAATTTCGTTTGTCACATATCGTCATAAATTATAGCCTATATGTTATTCTGGGATATAAATAATAATACTGTAAAGTTTCATCAAAATCCGTTCAGTAGTTTTTGTGTGAAAGAGTAACAAACATCCAGACATCCAAACATCCAAACGCCGTTGACAAAGATGACCGATTTTCTTCCGCCACTTCTTCTCAGCACCAGCCCTGTAAAGGCCTACATACTAAAAACGAATTAGAATATATTTGATTTGATCGAGGGCAGGCTCTCTAGGTGGACCGACGATCTGGTGAAGGTTGCAGTAAGTACCTGGATGTGGGCAACGCAGGACCGGTCTTTGTGGAATTCCTTGGGGGAGGCCTTTGTTCAGCAGTGGACGTCATTTGGCTGAAACGAACGAATATCAAACCAGAGCTAACCAACTAAAGCAGTGGTTCCCAAACTTATTTAGTCTACTGCCCACTTTGAGAATAAATTATTTTTAGCGCCCCCCATTTTTGTAGTCAAGAGTCGAGCTCAGTCGATGTCTAAGAGTCCTCCTAGTAGATGACGCCTCCCAAGCCTCTACACAACGTCCCCATATTTTTCTGGGTCTCTTACCGCCCCCCTTTAAGCCTGCAGCGCCCACAAGGGGGCGTTATCGCCCACTTTGGGAAAGACTGAACTAAAGTTTCTCATTAATCTTCACCAGGTAATCAACCGCACCATGGCAGCTGTCCTCATATCCACCACATCGCTCGCAGCGCTCTCCATAGCTGGTCTGCGGCCGACCCTGCCCGAAGTCATCTCCTGGCTGGACGTGGAGACGCTGCTGCTTCTCTTCAGCATGATGCTGTTGGTCGCCATCATGGCAGAGACTGGCATGTTCGACTTCTTGGCGGTGTATACTTTTGAGGTAAATATTGTTGGGGAAGTTCGTAAGCCCTTGTCAATAATCTTACTAATAGTGTCTGGCAGATTAGTTCCTGATAGGCTATCAGCGATTTCTGATTAATTTGGTTGCGGGTCCAATGACAGTTTAACTTTCCCTCAGGACAAACTTGACCTTCACTGGTTAGGTTTTATTGGCGGTCAAGCTGTAGATCCTGGCTACACAGGAGTTGCAGTGGGAATGAAAGGTGGGAATAGTATCGTTATCAGGATTGGTAAAAACACCCTAAGACTTCATTTATTCTAAAATTCCTTCTTAAACACCCACTAGGTGGACCGGCGATCTGGTGAAGGTCGCGGGAAGTACCTGGATGCTAGCAGCGCAGGACCGGTCGTTGTAGAAATCCTTGGGGGAGGCCTTTGTCCAGCAGTGGACGTCTTTTGGCTGAAACGAATGAACGAACGATTGTTCACAAGTCCCAAAGCGCCCGGGGAAAGAGCCCAGAGCAAGTACCCGCGCGCTCTCCCGAGATTCGGTTCGTACGCCGTGAGGCAGGAAGAACCATGGGTGGTGGTGGGATTTGTTCACAAGTCCATAGCCATGTGTAGCCAGGGTCTACAGCTTGACCGCCAATAAAAATCCAACCAGTGAAGGTTTAGTTACCAAGAAACCAAGTTTGTGGGGGAAAGATAAACTGTCATTGGACCTGCAATAAAATCAATCAGAAGAACATACGAGGAGTTTGTAATTAAGGATCGACTCCCCTTTAGTGCAAAGCCTAAACCATCTAGGATTTATTTCTTATTCTCTGCTTCTAGGTCACAAAAGGCAAGCTCTGGCCGTTGATCACTCTCCTCTGCGCGATAACAGCAGTTCTGTCAACTGTCCTGGACAACGTCACTACTGTGCTGCTCATGACACCTGTCACGATAAGGTAAGTCTGCTTAAAATCATCATCAGCAGGGCTGCAGCTTGGGCTACATAGATCACCGCGACCAATGAAGCGCTGCTGGACGCAGGCCGCTACCAATCGATCAATATGGAAAGCATTGGGGGAGGCCTATGTTCAGCAGTGGACGTCCTGTGGCTGAAATGATGATGATGACCAATGACAGGACGCGTTGATGTGAACTAATACAAATTCAAACACGACATCTGAGTGTGAGTTTAAATCATACGTCCTCACTAGTGAGCGCGTTAAAAAAATATATGAAAATTTTAGTTCTCGAAAGTTTTCGCTAGGGGCGCTGTACAATCCGTCATACATTTAATGACATTTTTTAAGCGCTCATTCGTCATCCTCACCATCTGATCGTCATCGCGCACGCAGGCTGCACGCGTTGGTTTGGCCGAACTTTTACTAGTGACGCGCCTCGCACCATTGGCCATCTATCGATATAAGATAAAGCGTTGGGATTGTTGATAGATTGATATGACGGACGACTTAAGATTAAGGTTAATTTTAAGCAAATGCATAATTAATAAAAATAAATTTAAAAAAAAATAATACATAGGTGGCTAAAATGAAACAATAATAAAAGAATATAGTTTTTTTTATTCTCACATATTTGTAAACACAAATACATTAATAGAGTTCGGTTTGAGTAGCCACTGCTCAACTTATTATGAAATACTCTGACATAGAGTAACAAGTAGGGAAATTAGTTTTACAATGATCATCTCATAAAAAATACATTGATGCACAGTGATTTGTTTCAATATCTTTCTATTTAATATCTTTCAGTAATTTTTGACTTAACGAGACGTGGACGTAGGGCAATTTAACTTTTTTTGAACCCTTGAAAATGACAAAAAAAAACAAGACTAAAAGATTATAGACGTCCTGGTTTATAGAAGACTAGCTTTTGCCCGCGGCTTCACCCGCGTTAAATTTAGTTTGTCACATATCGTCATAAATTATAGCCTATGTGCCTATGTGGTATTCTGGGTTATAAAAACATTGATACTGTAAAGTTTCATCAAAATCCGTTCAGTAGTTTTTGCGTGAGACATCCAAACTTTCGCATTTATAATATTAGTAGGATATCAAAATCCGTTCAGTAGTTTTTGCGTGAGACATCCAAACTTTCGCATTTATAATATTAGTAGGATGGACAAGTGAATAATAAGCAAAATAAAAATGATGGACAACTGGTTTAACCCACAGAATATTTCGATATGAAGAAGGGGAACGGAGAAAATAATGATAATTTCTTGACGAAGTTCAACCCCATCGAGGTAACTGCGCACTTCGGAATGCGACTCTCCCTCGCGTTCGCTCACTTTCCCGCGTTCGCCCGTTACCAGAGCGTCAATGTGACGTCACGGTTACTAGGTGCGCAGTCAACTCGGTCGGATTGTATGATGTTCCTTAAAGCAGGGTTCAATGCACAAAGACACATTGCAAGCTTCGCACCGGTAAGCTGTTTTGCTGTTCTTACGCCCGGCTTGCAGGCAGAAATAACATTTCTGCTGCGTTTTCCTATTGCGGCTGGCATCGGACTCCCTTTGGGGATGGTGAATTGGCCAATGGCCATGGAATGAAGCTGAAGAACTGCTTTGGAAAGATTCGGGGCGGACAGATCTCGGTGTATTTTCGAGATGCAACTCCAAAATTTCGTCTACGAGTTTAAGTCGGAAAGCTAAGTGGTCTTGATGTGCCTGTTTAGAAAATTGCAGTAGTATGCGAGAATTTAGGATGGAGCAGTTTAACAGTCTCTTGAAAAGTTTCATGTACCATTTGGTGCAACGCTTCCCCTCAACCAAGTACGGCTCAAGCATCTGGTCCTTCAAGTCGACGCCCCCCATGTTACGGTTGTAATCTAAGACAACCTGGGGTTTAACGGCAATCGGTTTAGATGGTCTTGAAGTCACAGTAGACAAGCCAGTGGCTATCCCATGGCAGGTGGACAATGTGGTGATTTTTTTCTTGTCTTGCCACGCCATCACGCAAACGTCACCGGAATGTCTCGCTATGAACTGCCCTTGCTTGAGCTTGGCGAGGTTCACCAAAGGTGGCACATCTTGACGAGAAGGGCGTAAGGTACCAACACAGTCGGTGCCGTTACGCTTCAGAAATCGCGCTAGTAGTGGCGAGTTAAACCAGTTATCCATGAAAAGCTTGTAGCCCTTGTTGAAAAGAGGACGAACTAATTTCAAAACGATTTTTGTACTCTTATGTAGCAGCTTCGAGTCATCATCAGTGTCCTTTCCTGTGTAAACAAAAAAGGACCACAAATAACCCGTCGCACTCTCGCAGAGTTCAAAAGTCTTGATTCCAAATTTGGTCGCCTTTGATCGTATATACTCTTTAAAACGCAGTTTATCCTTCCACAGAGTAAGGCTTTCGTTGATACAGATGTTTTGGCCAAGAATGTAATTATTTTGAAAACGGGAATTCAAATGGTCGATGATGGGTAGTATACTTGAAAGTATGTCTATCTGTCCGTCAGAAGAAGCGGTTAAATCAAAAAAATTAAGAGCGCGAGACAGATGTGTATAGCGTTTATAACTGAAAATCTTACGAAAAACATTACTCTGTAGAAGGGGATCTCTGGAGAAGCAGCTTTTGATGGTGGGCATTCGAATGATGCCCAACATTATCCAAAAGGCAAATAAGCAGAGTATTTCATCACCATTAGTTGGGAACCATTCCGTCTGAAAATTTTGTGAATTTATTGAAGTTGCGTACCGATTCGTTTCTGTGACAATGTGTTCAATAATCTCATCATCCCAGTACCGCCTGAAGGCCTCGTATGGTGACTGGGATGGAATCACAGCCCCTATTTTGTCTTGCAAGAATTCCTCTTCCTCTGGTACGAAAGATTCCATATCAGACCAAGTGAATTCACGGTCTACGTCTAAAAAGTCGTCGTCCACGCATTCATCATCGGTATCTTCCCTCTTTATATTATTCCTTGCTTTCCTTTTACGGATTCGGTTCCTTATTACATTCATCACCATAGTCTTCAAGACTTCTGGGACATCATCATCGTCTACACACACTTCCGTCAGTGGATCGCCTACAGTCCATCGACGCCTTACATTCACTCTTCTTTGACCACGACCAGGCAATCGCCTACGCCCACGTCCCCGTCGACTCTCTTGTCCTCTATTTTCTTCTTTTATTCTTCTACTTTCACCTTTTTGCTCAACCGGAAGAAATAGAGAGTGGGCATCGGGGTCGTAGAAGTTTTTCCGCTCTTCAAGGAGGTCACCTTCCTCGTTGTAGATCGCCGTGACCCTAGAAAATAAAGTTGTGATATAAATTTACACGTATTAAGCCTTTAACAGACATAATCAACTCGGTAAGGGGTCAACATCGTATCGCCTTTCGCGAGCTGTCATCTCCTTTCGCGCTCTGTCTTGCAACCGCGAGGTGAGGTGTTTACGTTGCAGTGCGGAGTTTCATACAAAGAATACTGCCCGCCTCGAGTTGATACGATTACGATCCGTTTCCGAGTTAATAAGTGTGCTACGACGACCTTAAGATAATATTTATCAGTTCATAATATTTGCTAACATTTTAATAAGTCACTGCATTGTCGTGGCATTGTTCCTAATAATTTTAATTTGTTATACTTTCACACCACGAATATCTTCAGACGGGTGCTGAGTTATAGGATCATCCCATCTAAAATATGAAATAATGTTAATTTTTATTTTCTGTAATTAAAATAATCTAAGAAACACCAAAAAACTTGTAAAACACTTACGTGTGTGGTGACCGCGATCGCGACCGCGTTCCTTCCAGATGCTCTCTGCAAAATGAAAAGAATTATTAACGGGACTATTCCCACCTCTCGTTCCCACCGCTGCAACTCCTGTGTAGCCAGCATCTACAGCTTGACCGCCAATAAAAACCCAAACAGTGAAGGTCAGGTTTGTCCCGGGGGAAAAGTTAAACTGTCATTTCATTGGACCTAGAATTAATCAGAAGAACACAGGAGGAGGTCGAAGTTAAGGTTTAACTTTCGCCAGTTAAGAAAGAAGGAATTATTAGTTAATGCAGATACATAATAAATAATTTTAGTTTATTATAAAAAAAACGTAAGTCAAGTATACTCACGTAAAGTGTTCTGTGAAGGAGCCTGGTGCCACCTCATCTGGAGCCATTTCATCTGGAGCCATTTCATCTGGAGCCATCTCATCTGTAGCCATCTCGTACTCACCTACATCCTATAAGAAAAAACATTTACGTTATTAAAATAGTTTAGCGTTTAGAGTCGCATCTCAAACTAAATTATAAATAACTTGAAAAAATCGAACTGCCAAGGCGGAAATCGTACCCACGACCTTTCGCTTTCTTTTTACTTTCCCATATCCAAACTATTTAAAAAAGCATTAAACACAATAATGATAAAATGGTTAAGCTTCAGCCAACTGACTGAAAAAGACAATTTTTGACAGTGAAAGACTAGTTTTTGACCAATTTGACCGTAAATGACAGTCAGTAATATTCAGTCATTGCCATTTTCAACACTATTGAGCCGTAAACATGAAATACGATAAAATTATAATCTTATTACTTTCATAGATTTTGTATCCTACCAAAAATTCGTACGTTTCAGTCAAATGACGTCCACAGCTGGACAAAGGCCTCCCACCAAGGATTTCCATAACGACCGGTCCTGCACTGCCCGCATCCAGGCGCTTCCCGCGACCCTCACCAGATCGTCGGTCCACCTAGTGAGAGGCCTACCTAAGAAGTAAAAAGAAAGTATTACCTCCTCATCATCGCTTTCCTCTTTTATCACATCCACACCCAGATCGATGGCCTCTTCCTCGTGTTCATAAAGAAGATGGAGGTAACTTTTGGGAGGTTCAATGCCTACTCTCCACGCCATCTGGAATGATAATAATAATAAAGCTATACTTAATAATAATATTATAATGATTAAGAGTTTTGTTTGGTTGAACGCGCTAATCTCAGGA